TTTACAAAAACCATGACATATGTCCCATTAATTTGCTAAATGATATGAGTGCAGAAAAGATGAATCAAAAACACTAAAATTCTTTTGAACATACCATCTAATATAGACACCAACCCTAGACATGACATTCAAAAATAGTCCCTTTGCTTTCCCTTCATCTGCTGAGTTTTTGTTACTGTACCTTTACAAATGTCTTTAAAGCTTTAATTGTTATTGTTCATTTCAACACAAAACTGCTAGCACTTTGGCTTCACCTTCTACAGAAGACTAAATCCTATGACATTAGTACATATGTAGTATGTAATACAAAGTTATTTGAAAATATATGAGTCTGGAAGGACCATCACAAATATCCTATAAACCACATATTATATAGAATATATATACCATGTGGTTTATATAATGGTTGACTAGAAAAAGTGATATACTTTCTAATTTATGTTTGACCCTAACAACTTCAGACTCCTTTTAAATTAAACTTACCTTATTGGAAAATAAGTTAAAGTTTGTTAGAGATTTAAGTCTCTACACTTAAATACTATTACATCAGATGCCTAAATAATTATTTGTTAATTTCCAAAAATTCACCTTAATCTTTTCTAGGAGTAGTTTGCACTCCTTTGCTGTCATACAAAAATCAAATGAAATGCAACAAAAGATCTTTCCACATAAAATTTTCTTTTTGGAAATTTATAACATGATCATCCTATTGTATCTTTTCAGTTGAATTATCAGGATCTGCAAATTTAAAAAAGACAATAAGAAATAAAATCCCAGGAAGAAAGGCACTTATACCATGCACATGGTAATTCCAGTCAGTATACTCCATAATTTTTATTAAATGGAATTGATTTCTGGCCTACATACAAATATGTCCAAGTGCCAGAATAAAGAGAATCAAGTTGGCTACCAAATGTTTCACATTAGTAGGATATTTCTTTAGAGGCTTCTGATGGAAATTTGAAGTGTATGTTATATCAAGTGCAGGAGAGGTATAAGGCTGTTGGAGAAATTCCCTTAGTTTATTGACTAAAAAGACAAAAACAATTGTCATTAACAGTAAAGCTTGACAAGATAATTAAATGAATGATAACAAAATCTCAGCAGGGAAATGCCCATTAATTGAATTTATTTGGGAGCAAGTTTTCACAAGTATAACCAAATTATCTAATTTTCACTCACATTAAAAACTGATAGTCTATAACAACTAATTACTAGAATTGAAAAAAAAAAAAAGCCCAGTACTTTGAACCAATAACACAGAAGAAAACAAACATCAAAGGATTGCCATGATATTTGACAGCTTCCTAAAAATTCCATTCATCATTTTGCCCTGTGAAAATCTCTCAGTGAAACTCGCAAAAGAAAAAACCCCAGTAGTTTTTATGTAGTAGTGCCTTTAAAGCTGAAACACATTTGCCACATTCTTTGTATCTTTTCATGATATTAATATGTGTATCAGTATGAGTATGTCAACAGGTGAAATCACAGAAAAATATGATAAAGATACAACAATTGAGTTTTGGCACTTCCTTCCTGTAAGAAAATGAGTGCATTGTTTTCCATTTAAGTATTATATATGGTTAATTATTTTTAAAAATTTGGTTGCTATTTTCACATTGTACAGATCAAAACATCTATTTAAAGCATCATTATGGTCAACTTCTAAATTTGAAATAAGGAATGAAAAAATTTATACTTTACTCAGATTTTCTTCTTTGAGCTGCTAGCATAGTCTCTTCAAATTCAAATTGGATATTTTTAATGCTTTAGCAAATGACTTTCCAATTTCCATGAAGCTAATGAACCTTATGACACATCTGTAGTGACCAACCAGATTGTGTTCAGAATCAATATATTCAATAGATATTTAAAACTATGAAATCTATCAGTTTCATGTTTCTAATCTTGTACTCTAGGGCAGTTTTAATCTATTGATAAATGTCTGGCAATAATTCTATAGAATAGCAAAACAATAAAATAAAGTCTGTTTTGGCTTAATGTTTGTATGAATTCTAAGCAGCTTTGGCCATTTGCAATTTAATCTGAAGGAGGAAAATCTGTATTAATAAGTTCTGTCAAAAATATTCCTTTCATTTTGTGATTTACTTCCTTCTAAAGAAGACTATCTAAATAAATACATTTTAAAGATATTGGTTAAAATTTAACAATATCCAAAATATTTCTTATATTTAAAAATTATGTTTCAGCTTTAAAAACAGTTCTTAATGTTCTGTTTATTGTGGGAAATCATTTTACATTCAGAAAACTAGATGCTGTAATTACAAAACTAACGACTAACACTCCTCACAATGACTTCATCATGACTTGAGAAAGGTAATAAAACCTAGAACTGCTTCTTATCTTCCACAGAGTTGATACTACATTAATTTAGAAAAAGGAGTAGGACTATGCTTTGTTTTCCTAAATCATTTCCTTAAATTAATATAACATAGATGTCAGTTATGGCATATATAGGTAGATTGATAGATAAATTTAGAGCAACAGCTACACAGATGGATGTAATATATGGCCATCATTAAGATATAATAGAATGCCTGATTTTGCCAGCTGAAGTAATGCATATGAAAGATTTCACTCATATCTTATTTTGTAACCATTTCTATTTCTGCTTTTTAACCAGTGTATTAAAAGACAGTTTTCTGATTAGCAATATTTCAGATGCTAAGCAATTCATTTTCGTGGTTTACATTGGTCTAAAAGCATAATCACATCAGGCAAAAACTGCATGTAGACCGCTCTGGGTTTTGAAGACTTTTTGCTTCTAACAGAGAATTTTATTTGAAGTTATAGGGTAATATCTACATTTAATTGATAGTTAATAATTGGGGGGGGGAATTACAAGGAAAGAAATTCCTTGATATAGAAGATTTTATCTTTTAGTGTCAGCTTAATGTCTTGCTCAGCACTTTTAAATTCTCTTAGGAAGATAACTCCTATCCATTACTTTATGATAGCTTAATCACCCTTATATTATGAACGTAGCTATTCTCATTCCATGAAATATTGCACATTTATTTCCAGTAGACCTTTTCCTTGACAACGAGAATTGGAAACTGTGTTTCTAATTGAAAACAATTGGCACATTTCATTTCTACAACACTTTCACATAGAGGTATTTAAAAGTACAAAGCTAATATTTTTCATGAGTTCCTGGGCTTATAAAGTTTCATCAATTTCATCTGAGATGAGACTTGCCTTTAAATACATGGTGTGTTTCTTGTAGAAGTTACCTGTATGTCTTCAAAAACCCTACTGATCTAGAAAAATGACTTTCTAGACAGTCATGTTTCTTTTCTTTTCTTTTTTTTTTAAAAAAAAGACAAAACAGCAACAAACATTTTAGCTCTTTAATGAGCAAAGATCATGTCTCTTAGCATTGGACTAATAGTCATTATCCAGATTATCTTTATTTCACGCAATGACCAGTGACATGGCCAAGATGTACAAAGTTGTTTCCATCAAGTAGTATACAATTTTTTTTTTTGTATAATAAGCTTTCATTCTTGAAAAAGAGTAACTGAAAAGAAAGGTTTCTGTTACTGCAGTTAGTTTGTCAGAGAAAGTTCTTTGCATTATCTTACAAACTATCAAAATTGCTAGTCGTCTGAAAAAATGTAAAAAAAAATCACATAACTTTAGTCTAATAGAAATATAGTACAGGTAAGAGAGAAAGTATTTATCAGGATGTGCTCTTTAAGTCCATCTCAATTTTTTTAATATAAATGTACATCTGATTACATATACAAACATTTGGAAAGATCTGTGATATACTGTTACTGGTAAACAACAGGGGGATGAAGAGTTTCCTGTGGTCTTAAAGTATTCATTTAAAATCACACATACGTGTAAGACTAAAATCCTCCAGGTGTTGACTCTCCTTCTAGGTTCTGTATCTATGTTGTACTCTACTGAGATTGCGTGAGTAAATTCCAGTGGATGAACCTCAGTGAGAAAGATAAGTGATATGAGGAGGGACATAACTGCATATTGAATTATTAGTAGTAAACATTTTGTCATGCAACATGAGTAAATCAATTAACTGAGAACTGTAATCAGAGTGGCAATTTGGGGCATCCTCATATCATAAAAGACTGTTGCAAGTAACTCTTTGGACACACTTCACCTTACCAAAAGGAACAAAATACAGAAAAACAAAAACCACAGAAAATTATAGATCCTGTAACACATGTCCAATTAGGGCTGTATTTCTATAAATTATTTAGATCGGAATGAAAAGAACATTAAAAACGCAGGAATTTTTTTTTCCTGGGATTCATATCAGCGAGTATTCACCACTATACCTATAGTTTCTTCAAATACCTTTAATAACTAATTCTTCCTATTATCAAAACTACTGTGAATTATTTACTTCTAATTACTTTTGCCCCTTAAAATCTTCTTTAGATTCTGCCAATTGATAGAGGAAGCTTCTATTAAAGACTCCAATGGGATGAGAAGAATTTTAATTACGGCTTAATCAGCAGCACAGCCACCAAGCATATAAATTATCATGCACATCGTGCTAAAAATATCCAGTTTCCTTTATCCCCATAACTTTATACTGACAGCACTTATGTGATAATGTTGTACCTGCCAGTCTTTAAACTTCTTTGTCTTACTGGCAAATTTCAGCATGAGCCTCTGCTAAGGCCATTAACAGCACTGGTGCTTTGTGTACTTATCCAAATATGTAAATATGGTCTACACAATAAAACGGCTCCAAATAAAAACTGGTGAAAATTATCTGACATTCCATTGGTGTGTCCCTTGTGCATATTCCTGGTTGTTTTTATTTTTATTTTTTATATTTCAGACATAGTTCTTTCCTGTTTGGTGTTCCACATGCCTAATTCCATTATGTAACATAAATCTTCAAAAAATTAATTCTTGAATATGAATGAAAAAGTATCATTCAGAACAATTGCTTCAAGCAATTGAAATTCATTTTTAAAGTTGATTTGTGTATATATGTACAATTTAATTTTTTTCAAAACCCCCAAAGTTCTTGATATGTATATTCACATAATATTCCTCCTTATTTAAATAGTAAGAGTCTTGTAGGTTGAAAGCCAAGGAATCTTCAGTAATCTTTTACTGCAATCCATCAAAAAAATAGAGTTTATTTCTCTTATCTGGCTATACCCTGGTTGTTGAATGTGAATGGGGGTGGGGATGGGGATGGGGCAGAGTATTGTTCTGTCCTCCAGTAAATGTATTGAATGTGTGTAAGGGTTGAATCCCTGGTATAGTGTTGGGAATCATTGTAATGGTGTTGGGTGTCATTAAGGGAACATCATCAGGTGACCTCCTCATAGCTAGTGTGTAATCTGGGGGGCAGGCGGTCCGAAGAACCACCTCATGTGGATGGATGGACTCACATTCATGATCCAAATCAGTGTGCTTCATTTGGAGGGACATGATCTCCTCTTCTTGTGCGTGGGTCAGATCGTTGGTCGTAGTGCGTTGAGGGCTGCATCTTCTGTGAACATCATGTCTCCTCTTATCTTTTTTGTAGTACAGGGCTGCAAAGGCAAGGATGTTCAGAAACAGCAGTGATGCTCCAACTGCAATCGTGACGCTCAGCTCTGTGGAGTAGTCCCTTTGATCCACTGAAAATGGACTCGGTTGTTGTTTGGGATCATCCTGCTTGGCAGTGGGAAATGCTGATGTGACAGGTACAGAATTCTTTCTTGTAGGTCTGAAAGTGATGTCAGTTGATGGCACTTTAGTTGTTGTCGAGGTATACTGAGAAATGTCATTGAGATTATGCAGATGAGGTACCAGCTCCAACCAGAGGTTCACCTTATTGGCTCTGTAATGTTCTTTAACTCTTGGTTTTAATCCAATATGGAGATAAAGTTGATCTTTCTGGGAATATCTGGTCCATGCTACTTCTTCAAAGCGGTTGGGTTTGGTATGGATGAATTTTGTGTCTTGAGGGACTGGTTGATTTGGGTCACTAGGGGAAAAAAAGTGCTCATGAGAACAAAGTTTTTTTATTTCTTTTTTTTTCTTATTCAAAAAAGTACTAGTTTAACATCAAATTGAAGAGGTAACTTAACAAGTTAGCAAGGCCTAGACTGTATTTTAATAACAGTTTGGGTCAATTTAGAAATACAGATCCTATCGTAGGCAGATTAAATGGATGATAATGTAATGAGAATAAGCCTCACAATCTTGTTCTCTTTGGCCATTTAGAGATGGGCTACTATCAATCCAAAGGTTATAGAATTCACACACATATGCATTGTGTCATAGGCAAACGAGCAAGGACAGCATGGAATAGTGGACAAAACCTGAGTTTTGGAATTAGCAGATGAGGTTGTAAGTCTTAGTACTGCTATGTATATCATAGATATACGAGTAGATATATGAGGCTAGGCTCTCATCACCTCAGTCCTTTATCTGCAAAGTGGATTAACAATACCTGACCTGGCCACCTAGAAAAAGAAGATGGAAGGATCAAAGAGCAAACAATAGTGTAAACTGGAAAGCACTATAAAATAATATTTGTCACTACTAAATAACAAAAATAATAAGTCCTGTATAATTAAAAATGAATTTATTTATTGAGTAATGCAACAGAGATATGTCTTTCTTTCTTTCTTTTTCCCCAGAAGTATGTCTTTCTTAATAAACTTCTAAAAGTAAGAACTAAGGCACAAAATAGAAGTTTGAAACAGCACAAATAGAAGTTTGAATAAAGAAACTTAATATATTAATGACATTAACCCATTAAGTTAAACCATTTGAACGTGAAGTGTGTATTATTTTTAAATGCTTACAAGGATATCTTTTATTAAATTATGGACAATTCTATTACTTAGGTACATACCCAGTTTTAGCAAAATTTGTCCAGTACGTCATTACAACTGCACTCAGCATCACATCATTTTTGGAGAAATTGCAAGGAAATAACTCTGTAGGTCCAATCATGGGGATTCCTAGTACGTAGGGAACTTCGTCTCCATGAGCTGCATCAGCCCAAGCTGGAACCTGATCTGTTTGGCAATGATGGTAAAAGGCATAGAAATATGTAGGTGAACCAAAGTTTGAGTGAAGATCTGCTGTAGCTACAGCTGGTGCCACCCACTGATGGTCTGTAAACAAAGCCAATAATGTCTTCCTTCTGGTTTCAGGGTTATGACGGTCAGCCCAGTCAGTATACATGAATTTAATGGTTTCTCTCAAAACATCTTTGCCTTCAGGATATCCGTATAAATTATCAACAAAATTGGAAACAGCAAAGTCAAAATCACTAGCTGATATACCATCATCACTATCTACTATATTTTCAACAAATTTTAGCCCTTCTCCTTGGTTAACTCCTAACATTATATCATAGTTGAGAAACTCTCCTTGCTCCATCAATATCTGAGGGTCATCTGGTATTACATCACCATCGATCACAGGTCCAAAGGCTATGTGGTATCGTGCTGGTTGAATATCTTGGTCAACAAGTTCTTTGTAAGGCTTCTTCTGTAGGCATTCCACTAACTCTACTGTATCTGAAACATTGCAACCAACTTTTGTGGCCAACATTCTAGCATATTTTGCAGGTTGGAAACTAACAGCCCAGCTGGAAAGGGCTGTTCCACTTTGAGCTATTGCTCGTTGAAAAAGTCCTATAGGGAAAAACAACAGAGTTTGAGATGACTTTTGAATAAGTTATTGTGCTAAAACAATAACATCTGATATTTTAGGCGTGTATATACAAACCCATATACAACTTAAAAAACAGGAAGATAGAGACATTTTTGCTTAAGAGAAGGTACATAAAGACATCCCCAAGGTAAAAGGAATCAAAGAGGCAAACTAAGTTTGAGGGCCAACTGCTTTAGGGATCAAGAGATCTAAATGGTTTAGTGTCTCAAAGAGGCAATAAGCAAGGAGAGATGGAGAACAGGTAAATATTAGTGGTGAAAAGTCCCAAGTATTTTTTCGCCCAACACCCGAACACCCATGTTATTATGAAAGCCAACCAGGTAGGCTTTCTCCCCCTTAACTCTTCATTAGACTTTGTATTGCTGTGTTTTGTTTTTTTTTTTTGAGAATATTTCTTCCAATTTGGCTGTATGTATCTTCTTTCAAAATGGCTCTGTATGTTTGTTTTAATCAGATTTATTAAAAAAAAAAAATTGCTGGGAGCTCACACAACTCCTGGGGATGGGGATTTGTTAATACCCTGGGGATGGCCCAGAAGGCACACAGAACAGAATATCACTTTCGACATACTCTTTCCAGCTCTTCATGTCAGACATAATATCTGAATATTCATCTTTCAGAAGAAGACATAACATTTGAAGTGTTTTCACTAGGTTAAAGAAAAAAACATCAGCAGAAGGATTCAGTGTGCGTGTGTGTTGGGGGAGAGTGATTTAATTTTTCCACTGTTGAATGCGCCCTGCTATATTTTATCATAAAAGATGAAAAAGTCATGGTCCACTGCTTTTTACTTAATTGCATTTAAGAATTATAAATCATGGTCCCATAGGCAGTTTGATAAGGGCTACATTCCATTCAAATTTACAAATGCACTTTATCTGCTCATTAAGGTATTTTCAAATAAAATTCTTGTTTTTAAAACCTAACTTATCTATTTTCTTTAAAAATTACATTTATTATCAGTTTCCAAAAATAGCTTCGTAGTTCAGTTATTTAAACACATGTTCAATTATTCATATGTGTTAATGAGATAAGAATTCTTTTCACAAAGGTGCTAAAGCAGTGTCTGAATTAGAAGCAAAGTTTTAGATTTTTCTCCAAAAATGCACATGTATTCAAAATGCCTATAATGTGTTCTTAGATAATTCTAAAAATATTCAAAAAGTCAAACAGTACCAATTTAAATTCGTTTTGGTTTCTGACATCTTTATGAACATATTTTTAGTTTGCCAGAACAAAGTATGCCAGAGTGAATGATATAAATGCAGATAATTTTTAAAACTTACATAGGCTATGTGTTTTTTAACATCTGTTCAGAAAAATATTTTACTAATTAAAAACTTTACAACTAAAATATACCTTGTGATTATTTCACATTTTAAGGGCTCAATGAGATTAACTAAATATACCAAAAAAGATTTGGGAGAAATACATATACATCATAGTCTGAAATATGCCATCTAGATAGTATTGGAAAAACCAAACATTTTATCATTAATGAAAATGCTTTTATGTATATATAAGCTGTGGTTGACTCTTGATAGATACAAATTTGAGCATTGCTGTAGCCTTGGGGAGTTTACAGACTTCAAATCAATGTCTGTACTGGAGACAGAATTAGTTTGATGATTTTAAGATATCTCCTGAGCATCTCCTGGTAAAAATCATGCACCCTTTTTGTAGAGATAGGCTTAGGACTAAATCAAATACAAGTCCGTTTATCTGGCTCTGCATGGACAGTCTTCCTTGAAGAGTGTGATGGAATATTATATTTTCAACTATTGGCATAGCCATTGACCACTGTTTATCAAATCATCAACTGATGAATAGCAATGCTGGTCTATGAACTAATTGGTTTGTCTCTTTATCAAATGTTAGTTTTATACTAGGTGACTAGCTTTGGTGCCCATTTTTGCTCTACATTTAGAAAAAATTTTAGAATAAATAGGAAGAAATTACATTTGAGATCAAATGACCCTAATAAGTCTGAACAGATTGTCTAACGTTAACCTACATAAATATTGGCATTAGTATAGTCCTCAGCTAGAACAGTCTAATCTCTTCAATGAAAAAAAAATAACAAAATTTGTTACTTCAAAATAAGCCACTTCATTATAGACCAAAATCCCTATATACTTGGAAATGTTCTCATATGTGTTATTTTGTCATCTCAAGTCAGAATTCTACTAACATAAAGAGATATTACATAAACTATATCTATAAATTAAGTCTATGAAAATATATGATTCTCTGAATATATATAGTCATTTAATGATAGGCTGTTCTTTTGAAATTCTGCATCAATATATCCTTTGATACTGAAAACAAATACTCTATGTCTGATGCTCTATATCATAAAGCTCAGTCTTACAATTCAAGATGCTTCATGAATTATACTTGACAGTATATACTTCCTTAATATATATAAAATGACAATAAAAGAAGCAGAAAACACAAAATGGTCTGTGTTGATGTGTATTCTCTGTCTTCCTATCTATTATATATAATGGAGAAAAAGTATTTGCTTTTGCAGGCTTTTCCAATAAAACCTTTCTGTTCATGTGGATGTTTCAAGTTAATAATGCAATTAGAATGAGTGAATTAAACTCCTGGTAAAATGGAAATTCATGAAAAAACAACATGATGAGCCTTGAGCAGGCACTTTGGAAAAAGGGTGTCAAGGCTAGAAAATGGAGTCAAGAAAAATGCTTCATGGGTTTAAGCAGCCTCAGTGCTCCAGGCTGCTTTGCCAAGCTTTACAGGGAAAAAATAATATAAACACTTTTCAATTTGAAAATAGAAAAAGCACAAATTCAAACCTAATATTCCTTTTAATGAAAAGCTCTACTAGTGACCTTGATGCTTTGACAATTTTGGATCGTGCATGCAAAATAATCAAACATCCAATCTCTACTCAGACAAGTGAAAATCTTGTTTCCAGACAAACCAGCTTAGGACGGCTTCCTTATCTTCCTACTGGTGAAAGGTTTTAAATGCCTATTGTCTTGAAAATAGATAATACACAATCCTTGCATTAAAAAAAAAAAAAACAAACCTGTCTTTGATTTTTGATTACTGAATAAACAGAGATGACAGAGCTATGAACATCTTTGATTTTCCCAAAAATCACCTTTTAGAGGAAAGAAAAGTAACTGTAATGCTAACTATTCTGAAGTGCGCTTGAAAGGGCATCCTTACCAAGCTCCACAGGAGACAAAGAAAAGAGTTTGACAAAAATTTAAACATGCATAGAAAAGCTGAAGAAACAAAATTTTAAACAGTTATTGAGCTCAACCTAATACTCAGTTTCAACAGAGAAATATGTACAAAGCATCACATACTACTGATGGTGGTGGCATGCAGACACCAAAATTGTCAAAATTTGCAACCTGCATAATACCTTTGGTTGAATTGCTCCAACGGTTACCTTCAGAATAATGGGATAAAGTCAGCAGATTGACACATGAACCCCCAGCGCCAGATCCAAAAACAGTGATTCTTAAGGGGTCACCGCCAAAGAATCCAATGTTCTCACTAGTCCATCTTAAAGCCTGTATGAGGTCAAGGAGTCCATAGTTTCCTTTTGCAGCCTGATCTCCTGTGCTTAAGAAACCTGGAAGATCGAAATAAAAAGGTACCTTAGAACACTGTTTTGAGTTGACATGGATCAAACAGACATTCAATATAAATACAATTAAATCTTGTATTCATCATGGTGAGTACAGTACAAATTCTTTAGTAAAAAATTATTTCCCACTAGAATCAAAGAATATACTTTAGGAAGAATAGTAGACACTGAAACCTGAAAAGTGACATTTATCTTCCCCAAGTTACCCAGGTAATAGGTAACAAGGGGCAGATAAAGAGAATGAAAACATTCTGAAAATCCTCAAGGGAGACATTCTATAGGCCAAGTTACTTTGTGGAGATATTTGAGTCAGTATCATGGGGCATATGAGAATGTGCTTTTGCATAAAACACTGTGTCAGCCCTAAAGTTGCGCATGGTCTAACATGGTTGGAATTTAATGAATGTGTGGTACAGTGGCAGGATGTGAGGGTGAAGAACAGGGGTATTTTTCTAAGATTTGTGCATAAAATTATATGCAACTCTTTGCATGTAGATGCATATATGCATTTTTGTCAATGATGGTCCATGCTTAAGAAAGAATCACTGTGTTAGGGGGCCTGGGTGGCTCAGTCGGTTAAGTGTCTGACTCTTGATTTCGATTTAGGTCATGATCTCAGCATCATTAAGATTCAGCCCCGTGCTGGGCTCTATGCTGAACATAGAGCCTACTTAAGATTCTTTCTTTCCCTCTCTCTCTACTCCTCCCCTACTCACGCTCACTCTCTCTCTCTCAAAATAAACTAAAATATAATATTTTAAAAATAAGGAATCAATGTGTTAGACGTAATTTGGGAACACATTTGGAATACCTTAAATGCTAAATTGAACATATTTGCTCAATTAGAAAACAACACAGAATCATTGGAGGTTTTTAAAAAGTTCAGACTCATATATCTAGAATGTTTAAAACTCTGCTTAACAGTAAATCTGATAATCAAGAGGAATATATATTGCATAATACAAAGAAAGGAGGTAGAAGAAAGGTTATAGGAACAGAACTGACAGACTGGCAAAGGCAATTGAAAACAGGGGATAGAAAAAATATTGTAACTGTAATAGCTGGCTGAGTGACTTTATATATGAAAGTTTTAGAGAGGAGCAAAGATACTACTTTAATACTTTAAACATATTCACTCATTTCACTGACTTAATAGCTTTTATATTATGTTTATTAAAACTTGTAAAACAAATATCTACTCTCTAATATATATCCACATTTGCTATAGATGAAAAAGTATAAAGTAATTCATAAAAGATTCCATTTTATACATTATTCACATATTGTGTAGAAAATATTTAGAGATATATTACACATAAACTGATTATATTTAGGGATATAATTTCCAATCTCACCAAGTGTATAGAACTAATTTTTTTTAATTAGATATATTCTCTTATTGCAGACCCATTAGAGAAACTCAACATAAAAAGAGTAAAAATTACTTCAATGTGAAATATATCTTTATTTTATAACTAAGCCAGGAAGTGAGTTATATTTGTGAAAACCATACTGTGGTAACAGTACCTATCAGTTAGGTAAATAAATCTATACCCCAAATGAATATAGGAACGGGAAATTCTTAGGATCATGGTAGAAAGCAATAGAGGAAGACAAATCTTTTTGAATAATTTTGCAAAAAAATATATGAGGTAATAAGTTGATTAGTCATTCTTCTTCTACAAGACCAAAAATTTTAAGAAACAAAAACACAATCTCTAGTCCATTAAGCGTGTGCTTGTGTGCATGTGCGTGTGTGTGTTTGTGCGTGTGTGTGTGACCCCAAAACCAATCATACAGAGGTTAAGTTTTAAAAAATAAGATTCAAATAAATATATCTTTTTGGACGTACTCATTACTTTTTTTTTTTTATTAAATATACATAACAGTTTAAGAAAATCTTCACATTATCTTCTTACATAAAAACACTTTTGAATACTCAAAGGTCATATAAATGAGAGCATATTAAAACATAAAACAAAAACATGGGAAAGAACTCCTTTAACTTTATTTGCTATTAAGTGAATTTTGGTGTAAAACAGAACCTTTAGTTTAAGTTCCTGAAGGAATCCGTTACAATTTTTTTGTTCTATAAACATGGACTGATAGTATGAACTCTGAACACAACCTTATGAAAGGATTACTGTGCATTAGATACAAGTGACTCTGTACATTAGATAGAAGTGGATAAAGGAGGTATGTGTGCGTGTGTGTGTGTGTGTGTGTGTGTGTGTGTAGGAGAGAGAGAATAAATGAGAGAATGAGAGCACACTCTAGGTAGTTTATTACCTATAATTTATATTCAGGTAGAAATTTGATTTCTGAATATAGCTTATGCCACTCAGCACAAACCCCAGGATTGGTATTTAATTCCTCTTTAAGTAATATTGAATAATTCTAGTATTATCCAAATAAATCTCTATGTTCATACAAAAATTGACTTCCTAATAAGATAATCATAACTCAATATGTAGCAAGTAGAGAACCATAGTAATAAGATTATTATCTCTAAGTTAACTAAAAAATATGGCCTCTATAATTTCAGTTTTAGTAGCACTAATTTAACGACTCTGGTAGGTTGGTCAAATAATTTTGTGTTTATATCATAATACTTGTAAAAGCATATCATTTGTCCGAAAAGCAAGCTCTAATTTATATATGATTTAGTGAAATCTTGTAGCATCATCAAGAAAAAAAAAATTAAACAAAATCAATTCAATTCCAAAGTTGTACTGTTATGTCATAGCATAGAAAATGGAGTAAATCATCAGGTAAAAGATTTTGGTCCTAGGCTTGGAATGTCTAAGCTACTCTGTCAAACTTCATTTTTATCTTTCATTACTGAATTTCTTTCACTATTAATTTTTATTTCATGTGTATGCTGTAGTTTATCTATCTATCTATCTATCTATCTATCTATCATCTATCTATCTATCTATCATCTTCTAACTGGAAGCAGTTCATTAGCATGAATTGAGAGAGCCACTATAGTTTTATGTTAGGAAAAAATAATCGATATCTACTGCCTTTATTAAGGTCAGTCAGACAATCAAATCATATCTCTTTAGGCCTGATAAAATAATACTACATGCTTGTATTAATTTTTGGATTTCCGATCCTATATTCAAACAAGAGTCTGTGGCTCAGCCAAAGGCAATAAATAAAGAAAATTAAGTAAATCGCTGCCTCAAAAGAGACACAGTTTGCTAATTACCCAAGTGATGTGCATTGGCAGCATTCTTTATACGTTGCTATCCAGTGAAGTGTCATTTAAAGTTCTTTTCAAAATTGACTTAGCTGCTGTGTCCTTAACAGCAGAATAATTTCAGATAGCCCTACCTGGAATTTTATATTGGACTGTTCAACTACAGGCCAGCCATGGCAGAACTCACTTTTGCAAAGATCCTAAAGTATTCCTTACCTTCATGATTACTTTGAAGGTTTTTCCCTTAATGTCACTTAAGTCATTCTGTATAGTCATTCAATTTATCCAGCCTTTCCTGGCCTTCAATTGTAAGCTCCTGGAATGTATGACTAATTGTTGTCCTAACACAATTACACATTATTTTTGTAAGATAGAACAATAATGAGTATAAGCTCTTCTCCTTTTTTGGGAGGATAGCAACAGAATTCTCCAGAAAACATTATTCAACTATTTATTTGACTCGTGAGTATAAAAACTGAAAACATTATTACCTTTAAAATTAAGGTAAACTTTCAAAATTCATAATTACAAGTATGCCAAGAATTATTTCAGTGGCTCATGTACACACTATAATTCTCATTCGACTGTGTTCAAATAGAATTTGTTTAATGCCATTTTTCCCACCTAAAAATTCCCTATAGAAAAAACCCTCCAATCACTGTTTTCACTACCTGGACTACTAATTTTACTGATCTGATTAAATTTACCAAGCAGGTTTTGATGTTTACCTTATCTGGCAACTACGATTCTTTTCAGGTGTTAGAAACCAAGCAAACTGAACATGGGCTCACAGAACCTTGGAATGGAAAAATCAGATCAGGCATAAAATAAATTGGCAAGGAAGAAATAAATAAAAGTGGATAATCACTGCAACCAGGTAACCAAGTATTGGTTTGGGCTACTGGTGACCACCAAATTCAGACAGGCAGACCTGAGGGAGTATGAGAGAAGCTACATTAAGCTGTCTGGCAACAGCCCTACAGCTTATTGGTTGAGCCAATCTATTTGCAGGTACCTTACAGTATAACTGTATAGACAACATGTTTAGAATGTAAAACAAAAGGAAAGCAGGGTGCTTCTCATTAAAAAAAAAGATCTAAACGTACCCAAGGAGGACACTGAGACTAGGAAAAATGCAAGCTGTTTACATTTGAGATTACATCTAGATTTTCAGAAATTAAGATGTCAGTGATTCTAGGGGCGCCTAGGTGGCTCAGTTGGTTAAGTGTCCAACTGTGGATCAGGTCATGATCTCATGGTTTGTGGGTTCGAGCTCTGGGTCAGGCTCTGCGCTGACAGCTCAGAGCCTGGAGCCTGCTTCAGATTCTGTGTCTCCCTTTCTTTCTGCCCCTCTCTTGCTTGTGCTCTCTTTGTTTATAAATCTAAAATTTATATAAATAAAAAAACTTAAAAAATAAGATGTCAGTGATTCTATACTGTAGGTATGCTTTCTTTTTTGGGGATAGAAGGGCAAATCTGAATGTCTATGCTTATAGCGTTTGATATATGAAAGTGTTAAATATATATACTTATATATATTTAAGAGTCCTTACTATGTGTTCGTGCTATAAAAAAGTAAGAAAGAAATCTCTGTTTATCAATGCTGTTGCCTGGATACAGATGGTTATGGTTGGTCTTTGAGTCAAATTGATAAGAACTTCAAAATAGAGGCCATACTGAGCATTAAAGAGTCTGCCTTGAAGCTATGAAACTTTGAATGATAGTGAGGAATCCTTCTAGGGATTTGGGAATATAGGTCAGAAAAATAACTCATCAAGGA